CCAGGCGTACCATTGATTTTTGATACTGCAAATAGGCATTTTATATATGCAAACCAAATATATATTTGACATTGGATACTGCAAGTAGACATTCAAATTTATGAGAACCAGATGAAACATAGACTTTGATTACTGTAAGGAGACCATTTATTTACGAGAACCAGACTTATAATTGACTTTGAATACTGCAAGTGTATTACAAACTTACTATGATGAGATATTAACTCATTTACGAGGAACAGATGTAGCATTGACCTTAGAAAAGTGTTGGTTTAATATGCTAGCTCCGCTCAATATTGCAAGCAGACAACTGCATTGTACACCTTGTATAAGCCTATATAAAGTATATACTAAATTAGTAATATATATGTGTGTGTGTCCATCCGCACGATAACTTGAGTAATTTTTTTCCGATTTTGATAAAATTTGGTTTGAAGGTGTAAGGCGGGATAAACTTGAATGAGTTCGCGAACCAGCATGGACTATGGGAACGGGGGTTTATGGGGGGTTTTATGGGGTAAAAATAGGGTTTTCCCATTTTTGACCCTAAAAATACAAAATTTCACAATTTCTTTTTAAACCATTTTGTAGAGCTTAAAAAAACAAATAATTTAGTATATTGAAGCGTTATTATGCGCCTAATTGTTACGGAGAAAATTAAAAAAAAATGTAATTTTAAAATTCCCATGTTATTCTTATGGAGAATAAGTCAACTGTTGTAGTTTGCTTGTTTATGAACATATTTTGATCAAATTTGGAAAATACATTAATTTCTTACTAAACCGCAGTACCTTTTAATATTTTACATAAAAAACTTGTTTACCCTCCCTGTTGCAGCAAACCTAAGTACTCTCTGTTTAAATAGGGAATAAATGTGATATTTTTAAGGAGACATTTTAGTTTAAATCCAATCAGGCAAATGGAAATTCGCTAAGTCTGCAGGTTTGCTGCGGCGGGGGTATTATAGATATAGATAGGTATATATATTTATAAGTTTGTCAATTATGCAATCCTAATCGACCTTTTGTTGGATAGCATCATTGATTGATGAATCGCATCAGAGTCCAGAAACGATCTCACTAGGATTCGAACCCGCGACCCTCAGCCACTAGGTTGATAATATTGAGTTTTTAAACGACACCGATAGGCACCGTTTCGGTTAAAACTTTAGAGTTGTTAAGCTTCATGGGAACACAAAAACAAAAGCTAATCGCTTAAATATATGAACAAGGTTTGCGAGCAAAAAGATTTAAGAAACGGCTCCAACTATAGCCTAGCTTTAGTAGGAATTTTATAGCTCCAGAAAAATATTTTAAAGCGAAGCTGTATACATACAAGGAATATGCGTTTATCGTTAAAATTTGCAAATTGAATTTTAATATATTTAACATTCAATTTATTGGTTACCATATTGGTTACGGACTAACAAGGAAAATGTATATTTTCCATGAATTATTTGAATTATATGTAGAATTATATTTCGTCATATTGCACCATTGTTTGAACAAACTATGTAGTCAAGTAAATCCATACGAAAACCCTAAAAAAATTTCTTTAAATGGTTTTGTTGGTTATTTTGACTTAGAATTATGTGCATTTACCAGGGGAAAAAGTCTAAAGAAATCGGAGTATCGGAAGTCCAAAATTCAAGATGGCGTCCAATATTTCGGTCAAATACTTGTATATAACTAATTTTTTAAATATTTATGAGTATTTTTTTGCTTGAACAATCCATTAATAGGTCTTAAAAATTAAGATCGCAAGCTAAAATTCAACACATATTTTATTTACTTATTAAAATATTACAGAAAATAAAATAGGCCCTTGAAGTTAGCTGTTTATTTCATCAGCTGACTACAACACTGCACGGAAATAGTATATTACGTTACTAGTCCTGAAGATAGGTGTTTACCAGATGAGTGTGGTCGTTCCCGTGCGAGACGAAGTCGAGTGCGGGATTACCATACGCTTCCGGTAAACGCCTATTTTCTAGTAACGTAATATACTATTACCGTGCAGTGCTATAGTCAGCTGATGAAATAAACAGCTAACTGCAACGGCCTATTTTATTTTCTGTAATATAAAAATATTATAATTTATGTTATGTCCAAAATAAATTGTGTTATGCGTTCAAAATTTATTAATTACGAGCTGTTAGCCCGTCCTACGTACGGGAATCGAGTAGTCCATTAAAACTGTATATAATAGTGTGTCTATTACTAATTAATTCAAGCATAGTTTAAGCGGTTCAAAATTTATAGTAAAGAAAAAGCTGCTAAGATGAATTAAAACATTTGATCATTGTTATTTTCCTAACCTTTCCTCAAAAAGTCGAGTAGTAATAGTTATTTGTGTAACTAGTGGGCTCTCGTGTGCAGCAAAGGCCTTTTGCACTCGTGTTACACATTATATTTTTCCTACAGTCACTATAAAGCATATAAATAATTCGTCTTTCAAACACTATACAACACGTTTTTAGGTTCAGCTGGCAACACAAATGGTGCCCAGAGAAAGTAGTACCCGCGGTCCGTATCAATCCGCTATTTTTCCTCGGCAAGAAATGTGCTCCGCGTTTTGAGAATATAGTTCCGTATGATTTTGTAATTTGAAGTGGTTTCCGCGCAAAAAAAAAAAAAATACTTTAAAGGTATTTTCTTGTTTATTAAGATCGTAGGAATGTTTTAAAAACGTTTAAAAGAAAAGTCCAGAAAGTTCAGAAATACCGAAACTATAAACACGAAATGACAGGTTAAATCGTAGTTATAATAGTCAATCAGCTGCTCATAGTATTATTATTATCTTTAAGTGTTGCCAACCAATTTCCAAGCGTAGGACGGATTACGTGCATAATAGAACCACGCTGTTTTGTGTTGTTTCGTTGGAATCCTGATGTGCGGCAAAGTATAAACCGTACGACAAAGTATAAACCGTACGGCAAAGTATAAATATGCAGCAATTAGCAGCTTTCTGTACTATAAACAGTACAAGGAAGCCAACTTTGTCGGGTGACTGTAGGAAAAATAATTTGTATAAACTTTCTTTTGAAGATTAGTGAGCTTCGATTCGTGTACAGCAATGGTTATAGAATCTTACTTATTTCCTATAATCAAATCACAGAGTTAATAAAATAACCTCATAGTTCTATAGAATATTCTTTTATTCAAATAGCTGTTAGTTATAACAAATTATATTGAACTAAAATAAACTAAATATTTTTAAGACTCATAAAATAATAAATCAGAACATCTAGTATTTTACTATGTATATTTAAATAAACAATCATCCTCTTACCGAATAAATGAACGTATCGATGATTATAGCCTTACACATAGTATAAATAAGTCAATTCTACGTATGCCATTTCATTTTCATCCAAATGCTGAATTTGCGTCAAAAACGCTGAATGTTTACAGCTGTTACGTTAAGCAAATGATATTATACCAAAAGCTAGAGTAGAATGTTGGCGTCGGCTGCTAGAGTTTTTAATATTTAAAAATTAATTTCTAAAAAACTGAACCCCCAAACTAAAATTATGGCTTCGACATTCCCTAGTTCTCAAAATTATCTTTCCTTCAACACAAAAATCATGAAATAAAAATCCCTGTCACGTTTTAATATTATAGATTTTGTGTATTATGATGTAAAGTATCGTACGTAACTCGCCCGGTACGCTTTAACGTACTCGCACGGTAAACCACTTACCGCGCTAGTAACGTAATATTTCAGTATTGTTTTGTTACTTCACAGTACAAGTTTGAACCAATGAAGTTCAAGATTTAGAGAAAATAAGTAAAATTGTAGTACTTCCAACGTCAACTTCTCAGCTGTTAAGACCAATTTATTTGATTAAACATTGAGTGAGTGGTTGGGACAATAAGTCGTTGCATCCAGTGGCAATGAGAGGTTATTAACGAAACTAATGGAAGTTATGAGTGGTGATTTTTAGTAATTAAGAAACGGTCGTAGGTAAAGTAGCTTACGTAACTCTCTTTACGCGATCGTTGACTACGCAATGTTTTATAGTTTTTACCTTTTCGATAATAATAGAACTCAAACAAAGATTTATAACGAGTAATTTTGCATTTCTATATTCATTAGAGGCTCTAAAATTCAGTACACCACGATCTTGTTGGTCGTAGATAATAGTGACAAAAGTGTGAACAAGTTTTAAAGTTAAATAAGCGGCGGCTAAGTGTAGGAGAATGTTTTTGGCCTTGAGTTGTTGAATCAGGAGGATTTTGTTTGAATTGTAAATTTAAAAAGGTATACAATATATACTTAAAGGAAGATTGTGAGCTCATAGTGTGGACTGAAAAACATTTAATAAACTGCAAAGTCTTAAGAGAGTGTTTTATGGTCTTTAGTTGATGTATCAAGAGAATTTTGTCTAAATTGTAAATTTCAATAAGGTATACAAATGTGTAAAGGAAGATTGTGAGCTCAGAATAGGAACTGAAAAATCAATCAATATTGAATTTATGGTTTTCACTAAGCGTTCATTGTTTATTTACTGCCTGATCAAAACTTGAAACCTCATTAAACGTCTACATTGGACTTCCACTTTTTGATTGGACCCCCGATCACAGATTTGACTTTTACTGATTCCTTCACTACCGAGTACATTATCATATTACCTGTAAACAGTTATAGTTGCTTCATTAAGTAGGTTCATTTATTATTTGTTCTATACACGTTATCAGCTTATTTCCCGTTTTTTTTTTTTTTTTTTACTGAAGGGAAGGATCCAACCAAACCCCGGTCTTGTTACTCTCTATTGTCTATCTTATGTTGTATCATTAACAGATAGCCCAAATGACAAATTACATCTGGTTCCAGAACCAATCTATCTAGGAATCTAACCAGTAACCTTCATATTTGAAATTAATTTGAAGAGTTACAGGTCTGAAAACAAAAACTTGAACCTCAGGTATACAATCAAGTTTCTTGGAAGGAAATTAATTTTAATTCTAAAGAAATATAGGTAAATAAAACAAGGAATATATTTCGTAAAATCTTGTACTTCCACATTTATTATGTAAATCAATACATTATCATGCCATGAAATAAAATATTTATATTATTTTGAACTGGTTTCATACAAAATTTAAAAAAAAATTAAAGATGACTAAAGTTGTTGGTTCATCTCCTGCCGTAGTATCCGCCAGAGTAGCTGTGGTGTTGCTGTGGAGGAGGTGGTCTGTAACTCTTGTGTGGACCACTTCCATAGCTGACAACCCCTCCATACCTTCCACCACTCTCAGACCCACCAAAGCCACCTCTGCTGCTGCTGCTGCTACTATAGCTGTCTCTTGACGAGGCCACTCCTTGGTTAGGGCCTCCCTAAATAAAAAAAAAATAGCATACGATCATTCATTTGTTATGTCACCAATATATTTAATACGCTAGGTAATAGGTTTCTACTATATTAAGAGCAAGAGGGATACTTCTAATCAGACTATATTTACGAAATTCATGTAATACCTTTTTCACTACACTACTATGAGATGAGCTGTGTTTTGTGTTTTCAACCTGTGAAACATCATATTTTCTACAGCTGTTTATTGTTTACTTAAAAGGGCTGCATGAGATCGATTGAATTTATTTAAATTTAAATATAATTCGTATATTTTTTCATTCGGATTACATTTTTCAGTGATTTTTATGATGACATAATTACCCTGGGTCTTCGGTCCTGGTATGGCTGATATCTGTTGTCTCTACTTTGGAAGTTTCTGCCGCGATCGGGTCTGAAACACAGTGAATTACAGATCCAAGCCATTGTTAAGATTAAGGGTGTAGTAAACTGACAGGCAGCGAAAAAAACAATTAATTGTGTATGTAGTATATGATTTGTAATTATTTATTTCGCATGGTTAAATTTTTATCACTAGTGAAAGTAAGAGTGATAAAGTTGCAGTTCAATCATACTTTTTACAGGTTTTATTAAAACACCTGCCTAAGGGTATTGCAGAAACCTAAAAAAATAGATCAAATATTTAAAATTTCCAAGCTGAAATACTGTTATTAACTAGACAATTACATCATAAAATTTAATAGTTGTATAACTAAGTTACTAAAACGATGAACACATTCAAGTTTTTATATTCAATACAGGTTCGATTTGGATTTTGGTGTTCATATAATACAATATCTTCAGCTGAGCGGCAAGCAGCCGCTCATGGTATCAAGTCCAAACTGATTTTCGCGAAAACGCCGCTCGCCGTTTAATCCAACTATTCAGTTAAGTCGAAAATGTCAGAGGAGCAGCAGCAAACGTTCGAGCCTCCAGCCAAACTCAAGAAGACACAGGTGAAGTTGAGTGTTAGAAGTTTTGATAAGTGAGGTGTAGTTCAGGGACCAGCACGAAGGTTTAAAAACACTACAGTCACCAGAACACTATTGGACGAGAGAGAGAGCCAAGTTTGTCAAAAAACTAGAGAATTGTCAATTGACAACTATAGTTGCAATACGTCTTGCGGGTCAGTTTGCCATATTCGACTATATGAACTGACTCATACAACAGGGGAAATTCGACGAGCGTTTAACGTTTATAAACACCAAAGAGAAGTAGCCCTTGTAAAACAGGTATGAATTTACTACACCGTATTGCACAAATGTACAGAACAAGAGAGATTAGTCGTCTGAGGACAATGAGATAAATTATTTACATAAATACCTTGACTGACTGATAAAGAAATCAAATTTAAACAATCATAACAACTACGATACAATTACATTACATGCACAAATGCTCACCCATAGTTATTAGATCTGTAGTTGTTGCCTTGTCTTGGTTGATTGTAGCCACCTGAAAATTATTGTGTCATTAGACAACTGAAAACATGTGATGGCAAATAAGTCAGATCAAATAAAGAAGTATTAGATAAAATGTGATACTTTACAAGTGCTGAACCACAATAAAAGTTTCAAGATTATTAAAGTTAATTCCAGGAAATGAATGATTATCTAACAGAGATATTCATTTTTTAAAAGGAAACATATTCATATCCTATTGCTCAGAAATACACCATAGGTATGTTATATGCTCAATGGTATTCATCAAAATGGCCTTTTTCTTTTAGTCTCTAATTACTGTAGTAATTTCATATTAATTATACTGTAAATGGCTCGTTACGACCATAATATGTTAGGTTTGCAATCTTTTGTTTACATTTTACTTGTTAATTCTTAAAGATACTTAACAACCCATAAGCCTCATGTTAAAAATTGAAAATTTTAAGTTAGTTTTAATTTATTTTAGCATTAACTAATTGTAATTTGTATATTTATTATCATTCGATTCTCACTATCTGTAAAAATAACCTTGGTAAGTTTAAGCTGAAATATCTACAGCGGGTTTTACGTGATTATGTAAGAAAGTTTGCATTGAAGTCAACCTCAAAGAACATATCACGGGGAATATCACCCCCGCTCAATACAGTAAGTTATAAATTAAATTCAAACCAAAAGTAATATCTCCTAGTCCAAGTTCATATTTAAACTATCAAAAATAAAAATAGAGGGAAAATAATTTTTTTTTAAATTGCATAAAACACATAAATAAATATGATACACCTTCATAATAAAATTATATTATTCTTGACAAATGAATGACAAAAATCAGTCTGGGTGATAATTGTTGACCAATTATCACACAGGCATGGATGGATTAGCGGAAAGTTGTACATTGCAGTCTAATTTGAGTTTAAAATCTGGACTGAATAAAATTTTAAGCAGCCGTGAGACCGCCTGTCTGACTAGACTATGTATATACATAGATGGCAGCCACTCGCCCACATATCACTGCAAAAGTTGCACACATTCTTCCTCGATGTGTGGTACATCGGTAACAACAAAAGCTGGTACACATCTGACCTGGCCAATCTGAGAAATAGAGTTTTATTCCTAAATGACATTTATAAATCTGCAATAAATCATACTGATAAGCAGCACTATTATCATCTCTATCTATGTGCCCAAAAAGACTACAGGAGTAAAGTAACCAAAGCTAAAAAGGAATCAAACTCAAACTATATCACAAATTCCCACAACCCGAACAAAGCGGCTTGGGACCTTATAAACTCAAGCAGAAAAATCAATACAATTTGCAAAAACAACAATAGCCCAGATACATCATTCAATACCTTTTTCATTAACAGTGTTACTGACATCGCTTCACGTTTCACCAATTGCAATGTCGATCCAGCTGACAATATCCCTCTAAACCCCATGAACAAATTAGAAAACTGGAAACTCGTAACCCCAAGTCAAATTGAGTCTATTGTTAAGAATTTCTCAAACTCGAACAGCCCTGACATATATGGATTAAATGTGAACATTCTAAAGAATACCATCCACTGTATGTCCAAACCTCTAGCTACAGTGATCAATATATGTCTTAGAGAGGGATTTTTTCCAAGTTTTCTAAAAATAAGCCGAACAGTCCCCGTATTTAAGAAAGGTGACCCGGAAGAATTATCTAATTATAGGCCTATATCCCTGATACCAATGTACGCTAAGATTATGGAATGCACAGTCAAGGACCAACTGGGTGAGTTTTTTGAAGGCTCGAATCTTTTCACGAATGATCAACATGGGTTTCGAAAGGGCAGATCAACAACCACTGCGTTGCTAAATCTAACATCAAAAATAAATTATGCTTTTGACAACAAATACCTGACAAACCTAACCCTATGTTACCTCAGCAAGGCGTTCGACTGTATCTCACACGACGTCCTGCTGAGGAAAATGGAAAGATACGGGATAAAGAACGTTGCACTAAAAACCTTTCATGACTATTTGAGAGACAGAAAGCAAGTGGTATCTATAAGGGGAGCTCTCTCCAGTGACCTGAATGTCAGCTTAGGGGTCCCCCAGGGTTCTATCCTGGGGCCTGTTCTCTTCCTGATTTTTATCAACGACTTGAGGACTGACGGGAGAACCCTGTTCTTTGCTGATGACACCACCCTCATCACGAGCAATGGTCAATTGGACCAACTAAAACTCGAAGCAGCTGAAATCCTGGACGAGGCAAAAGCCTGGTTTTCAACGAACAAACTTAAAATAAACAATGACAAAACCCAAGAACTTATATGCAGTTTAAAACCCCAAACTCTGCAACAACTACCTGTCAATCTACTAGGTTTTTGGCTGGATAGTAGGTTGACATGGGACAAACATAAAAATGAGTTGGAAAGCAGACTTTCCAGAACTGTTTTCCTCTTAAGAAAGTTAAAAAATCTGGTCACAGATGCATACTTAAAGCTGGCCTATTATGGCCTCTTCCACAGCTTGATGAGCTATGGTGTCATTGTCTGGGGACACGCTTCAGAGACTAAGAACATTCTGATAGTTCAAAAGGCTGCCATAAGAGCCATAACGTCCAGCGAAAGACACGAACATTGTAGGCCACTTTTCCGAGCCCTAGGAGTAATGAATATCTACAGCCAATTCATTTATAACTGTCTGGTGCAGACCAAGGAAAATATTGATAACCTCAGCTGCAGAAACCAGCTACATCGTTATAATACGAGAAAAGGAGAAGATTTAAACGTTCCTTTCTGCAGGCTTAGTAAACAAAAAGACTGTTATCCGGTCCTTGGCATCAGACTTTATAACCACCTGCACCAGGACATAAAGTCACTCCCTCTTAAGAGCTTTAAAAAGAGAGTAGAGGAGCTACTCAAGGCGCGGCCCTATACTCCATGAAGGAATATTTCACAGAGGAAAATGGTGAATGGACCTCGTAATCTACAGCCATGTTAACCGCATAAATATATAAAGTATTAAAACTTAAATGTTTTTAAATGTTTTTTCTTTGACGAAATCTATCCAGTCACTACTGGTCATCGATGGATGCATGGTATAAAGGTATAAAGGTAAAGATAATATAATTTAGAAGGTTTCGGTGCAATTGATGTGCGATTTAAAACGAATTTGAAAGCTCTTTTCTGTAACCTAATCTTGGTATAGTGTATCTAAAGTTCAATGTTCAATATATAATGTTCAATATATATATAAGTTGGCTAGTGAACATTTTTTGTTTGTTGTCTTAACTGTATATTGGAAGGTTTAATGAACAACTGTCTAATAGTAATATTGAGTACAAGAAAACCGCGGAATAACAAATCAGTAGAATATCTTAGCCCTTTTTCAGCATAGTGCTATGTTATTATGTATAGAGCGCTGTGTCAACCCTACTAGGCGCCCAGTCAGAGCCGGTGGCGGTCTGGAAGTGCCGTATTCGGCCTCTGCACTATCCAAATTAAATGTTAATTTATATAAATAATATGCGTAACAATTTGGCTGAGGAGTATCAATATTTCAAATACAAAACCAATCACCTCCAAAACAAGCTTTTACATTTTTGTCAAGCGTTTGCCGTTTTTGAGAAAAAGTTGATTTACAAAAGTTACAACAAAAACGTTTTGGGTAGAGTAAAAATTCTGAAACTACACATATTACTAATTCATTATACAGGGTGAATTTTAAATGAGTTCCCCCCCTACTTTTTTCTGCATTTCTTAAGATATCATCTCCGGACCACGTTAGATCATTGTTGAGTAGTAAGTACTTCATTTTGGCTGGGTATACAATTTTGGCCGCCATCTTGGATCCGCCATATTGGATACAAAGTTTTTTTTTTCAAATGTAAAGGTAGGGTTGTGACCCATTATTTCAAACCAGAATTTTACGCTGATTACAATGCCGCAATTATTTTTTTTAAATATTGATCCGTTCTAAAGTTATGAGGACTTTTTATAACTTTATTTTTAGCGCATTTTAACATTGTGCATTTACAAACTAAGACCATAATCTCAAAATAGTGCTAGATAAAGATAAGTATACACCACCATTCATTGCCGACATATTTTCACTTGGTTATGACGGATGTAGTTTTTTCAGCCGCCATCTTGGATCCGCCATTTTGAAATGTGATCAATTAATTTAAATATGAAGGTGGTGTTGTGACCCATCATTTTGAACTACTTTTTTATACTGGACTCAATGCTGCAATCCGTTTTTGGTTATCAAGCTATCTTGATGAAATATTAAAATAGTCTTATTTAAAATTTCAATATTTCAAAAACCAAAGATGCAAATGAAAAACGGATTGCGGCATTGAGTTCAGCATAAAAAGGTAGCTCAAAATGATGGGTCACAACACCACCTTCATATTTAAATTAATTGATCACATTTCAAAATTGCGGATCCAAGATGGCGGCTGAAAAAACTACATCCGTCATAACCAAGTGAAAATATGTCGGCAATGGATGGTGGTGTATACTTATCTTTATCTAGCACTATTTTGAGATTATGGTCTTAGTTTGTAAATGCACAATGTTAAAATGCGCTAAAAATAAAGTTATAAAAAGTCCTCATAACTTTAGAACGGATCAAGATTTTTTAAAACTAATTACGGCATTGTAATCAGCGTAAAATTTTAGTTTGAAATATTGGGTCACAACCCTACCTTTACATTTGAAAAAAAAAACTTTGTATCTAATATGGCGGATCCAAGATGGCGGCCAAAAATGTTTACCCAGTCAAAATGAAGTACTTACTACTCAACAATGATCTGACGTGGTCCGGAGATGATATCTTAAGAAATGTAGAAAAAATAGGGGGGGAACTCATTTAAAATTCACCCTGTATATGTGTCCATATTGTATTAAAGTTTGATAAAGTTCTGACGTTTAGTTTACATTGTGTGAATTTTCAAAGTCATAAGATGGTTTTTGGTACTGTAAAAACAGGCAGATTTTACCTTCCGACTGTCATAAAAAATTTCTTAAACGATCTAAAAAAATTTTGTTTTCACAGGAATACGTAGAATAAAACAAAGAAAATTTATACATACTACGTGTTTTTCTAAGTTAGTTGGTTACTTTTCTGTAGAGCTCCAAACTCGAGTGTCTAAACTTTTTTCCCCGACAGTAGTGTCTCCAGTACCAGGAGGAGACACCCCCACCAGAACCAGAGTAAACACGGCTCAACTAATAAATCTTGAATCTTGAACTGTCTGTAAGCATGTATAGTTTTCTTAGTTTTTAGCGAATTTCCCGATAGGAAAGTAGCTATTACAGTAGGTCTCATAGTAAGACCTGGGCCCGGGACCGATTTACTTTTTCAGTTTGATTTTCCCAGAGGCCAAAAACACTATTCGTTCAAATATATCTGTGTGTGTGTCCGTGAATACGATAACATGAGTAATTTTTGTCAGTTTTTGATGAAATTTGGCTTAAAGGTGTAGGGCGGGATAAACTTGAATAAGATCGCAAACCAGCATGATCGGACTATGGGAACGGGGTTATTTGGGGGTCAAAATTGGATTTTATCATTTTTGACCCTCAAAACAAAAAAATTCCAATTTCTCTTGGTCAAATTTGTAGAGCTTGAAAAAAATAATTTAGTATATTGAAGAGTTTTTTACGACTATTGGTCACGAAAAAATTCAAAAAAATCGTAAATTTAAAATTACTATGCTATTCATATGGGGAATAAGTAAACTGTTGTAGTTTGCTTGTTTACGGATATATTTTGATCAAACTTGGCAATTACCTTATTTTATACTAAGCTATTGATATTCTACTAAAAACCCACTTAATTACTCTCCCTGTAGCAGCAAACCTAGGTATTTGTTGAACATAATGCTATTTAAATTGAAAATCCAATCGGGCAAATGGAAATTCGCTTAGTCTGCAGGTTTACTGCGGCGGGGGTATTGTTTTAAATATGAGGCACCCATGATATTTTTTTCCCATGACTACACCTAAATATTTGAAACACTTTTTAATGGGTTCATATCCACAGTAGACAGACTCCGGATCGTCACAAGAGTGCATTTTGAGGATCCTCTGTCCTGGATCATAGTTATCTCTATTATAAGTATTATTAGCAAAAATTTGTTTTTTGTACATTGAAAGAAAGTAAATTATAGTCAAACCAGTTTTATTCTTGATGAGATCAGAGGATTATGTGTGTAAACCTCGTCCCATGTTCCCGTATAAGACCAAAGCCGTGTTGTTAGCAAATATAATTAAGGGCCAATTTATGTTTAATTGGGTTATATAGGAAAAAGCAGTGGTCCAAGGGGACTTCCTTGACCAGACCAGACCACTTCTAGATGTGCTAGGGAGTTGAAATTTGGCACACTTGTAGTTCTTGGCCCCAAACCACCCATAAAATTCCAAAAAGTCGCATTTTCAAATTTTAACCCCCCCGAAATTTTGAATTTCCCCCCATGTTATTCTTATGGGAAATAGCATTAAAAACGGCCGACTTTGGTGTGCCCATCTGAATGGTTTAGAAACGTGCTAGAGACTTCAAATTTGCGTAGTATTGTACTATGGGATCTTAAATTAACGGTTAATTTTGCAAAAGTCCCATTTTCAAATTTTAACCACCCCAAAAATCCAAAATGGCGGACCTCTGAAAACGATAAAACGCGTTTTTTTCAAAGGGCTATAGCTCGAAAACGGTAAGAGCTAGAAAAGATTTGAAAGAATCTTAGCGAAAGGGAATTAAATTCTCTACAAAACCCTCTTAGGCGTTCTCCGGAAATCGCACTCCTTAACCTTCAAAAAACGCCCTACTTTCAAAATTTAGTAAATTTCTTTAAAATCTTTTACGGTTTTCGCTATTTTTTCATATTTAAATAATTTCTTTTTGCAAATATTATTATTGCTTTGTATTCTCCTTACTTTACTTTAAATTTTACTCATTACGTGTTTTTTCGTAACTTTACTCCTTGACCCCCAAAATCTAATTTTAATGTCGAAATTTGAAAGTTTTTACGAGCTCCGTGTTATTCTTATGGAGAATAACATTGAAAGTGGTTGACTTTGGTGTGCTCATCTGAACCGTTTAGAAACGTGCTAGAGACTTGAAACTTGGTATTATTGTAGTAGGGGATCTTATATTAACGGTGAAATGTGCAAAAGTCCCATTTTCAAATTTTAACCCCGCCAAAAATCCAAAATGGCGGACCTCTGAAAACGATAAAACACGTTTTTTTTACGGATATAGCTCGAAAACAGTTAGAGCTAGAAAAGATTTGAAAGGATATTCATGAACAGGAATTAAGTTTTCTACAAAACCCTCTTAGGTGTTTTCCGAAAATCACACTCCTTCGGCTTCAAAAAACGCCCAACTTTCAAAATTTTATAAATTTCTTTCAACTTTTTACCGGTTTTCGCTATTTTTTTTAGATTTAAAACTTTTTTTTTTGCAAATATTATTATTGCTTTGTATTCTCCTTTTTTTACTTGAAACTTTACTTACTACACGTGTTTTCGTAACTTTACTCCTTGGCCCCAAAAGTTTTTACGAGCCCCATGTTATGCTTAAGGAGGATAACTTTGAAATTTTATGACTTTGTTATGGTCATCTGAATTGTTAAGAAACGTGCTATAGACTTGTAATTTTGTAGTATTGTAGTATGGGATCCTAAGTTAAGGGTGAAATTTGCAAAAGTCATATTTTAAAGTTTTAACCTCCTCAAAAATCCAAAATGGCAGGACATCTAAAAACTATAAAACACGTTTTTTTTTCAAATAGCTATAGCTCTAAAACCGTAAGAGATAGAAAAGATTTAAAAGAACTTACATGAAAATGAATTAAATTTTCTACAAAACCCTCTTAGGCGTTTTCCGAAAGTCGCACTCCTTCAACTTCAAAAAACGCCCTACTTTCAACATTTGGTAAATTTTTTCAAATTTTTTATCGGTTTTCTAAAAGCTAGAAAAGATTTGAAAGAATTTTCATGGTCAGGAATTACATTTTCTACAAAACACTCTTAAGTGTTCTTCGAAAATCGCCAACTTCAACTTCAACTTCAAAAAACGCCAACTTCAACTTCAAAAAACGCCTTACTTTTTATTTGGTAAATTTCTATAAAATTTTTTACGATTTTCGCTACTTTTCCCAATCTGAGTAAATTCTTTTTGCAAACATTAATAATATTTTGTATAAACTCTGGTTTACTTAAAGTTTTATCCCCCTATCGTATTTCTAACCCCCCCTCCCTAATATTATATCCTCCCCCGCCCCAATGTTATTCTTACAGGTGCATAAGCCTAAATCACGTTTACCCATTTCTAGATTAACTGGATGTCTGAAATTTGGCCCGATTGTAGGTCTTGCGCCCTGTCCCCCGTGGCTCATTTACCCCCAACCAAAAAAGGGGGCCTGGGGGCGGAGCCCCCAGCGAGCCAAAGGCGAGTATATATATATATATATATATATATATATATATACTAGCTGTACCCGCGGGCTTTGCCCCGTTTTACTTCACAAGTGAGCTCGTTCGCATGGCTCAATCACGTCCTGGTTGAAGTTCGTTCGCTACGCTCACTTGCCTTCAGGTTAGCTCGTTAGCTACGCTAACTCGCCTCCAGGTTGAAGTTCGTCCGCCACGCTCACTCACCTTTTGTTTGCAATTTAGCTGTTGTCATAAATAAAAAAAAAAAATAATAGTGCTGCACCCTGTTGGTAATACTTGTAACTTTAATGCTATTGCACATCATAGAACAGAACCAACTTGTTTAATTGAAACAGCTGTTAAGATTCATTAATTCCATTTAAATATGAGTACTCTTAAGGTTAACATGGGAAACTCCAGAGCCACTGGGGCGGTGCCCGAGAGTCCGATCAGAATAAAAACAATTTAGTTTTCCTATAGTGTACCAAATTTCAGCCTCCTAGGTAAACGGGAAGTGGGAGAATTAGTGATGAGTGAGTGAGTGAGTCAGTCAGTGAGGGCTTTGCCTTTTATATACAGGGTGTAAATTAAGTCTGGCACACATTTTTTATCTTTTTTTCTATAGTACATAGAAGAAATCAATTTGCGGGAATGATTAATAACAAATGTTAGGCACTTTTAACAAATTTTGAAAATAAAAATTCCCTTAAGGGCAAGGAAGGGTGGGGGGTAACTAAAAATTTTCAAATGACAACCCCCATCTTGTGACCCCTCATTTTAAAGGTCATTGGAAGACAAATCCAAAGATGTGTCTAAAAAATTTTTTTTTGCACCCTATCCAAGATGGCGGTTTAAAATGTACTTAGGGTTGAATGGTTAAATTAGGTAGGCCTATGGCACACATTTCTTATCTTTTTTACTCTTTGTAGATAGAAGGAATTAATTTGCGGGACTGAGTAAGAACAAATGTTTGGCACTTTTTCATAATTTTGAAAAAAAATCCCCTTAAGGGTAAGGTGGGGGTGGGGGGTAACTAAAAATTTTCAAATGACAACCCCTACACAAATTTTACTTGTTCAACCCTAAGCACATTTTAAGCCGCCATCTTGGACAGGATGCAAAAAAAAATTTTTCAGACACATCGTTAAATTTGTCTTCCAAATACCTTAAAAACGAGTGGTCACAAGATGGGGGTTGTCATTTGAAAATTTTTAGTTACCCCCCACCCCCACCTTACCCTTAAGGGGATTTTTCTTAAGGGGATTTTTTTTCAAAATTATGAAAAAGTGCCAAACATTTGTTCTTACTCAGTCCCGCAAATTAATTCCTTCTATCTACAAAGAGTAAAAAAGATAAGAAATGTGTGCCATACCTAATTTACCCATTCAACCCTAAGTACATTTTAAACCGCCATCTTGGATAGGGTGCAAGAACAAATTTTTTAGACACATCTTTGGATTTGTCTTCCAATGACCTTTAAAATGAGGGGTCACAAGATGGGGGTTGTCATTTGAAAATTTTTAGTTACCCCCCACCCCCCCTTGCCCTTAAGGGAATTTTTATTTTCAAAATTTGTAAAAAGTGCCTAACATTTGTTATTAATCATTCCCGCAAATTGATTTCTTCTATCTACTATAGAAAAAAAGATAAAAAATGTGTGCCAGACTTAATTTACACCCTGATAGATATGTGTGTGTGTGTCCGTCCGGATGATAACTTGAGTAATTTTTGTCCGATTT